TTTCTGTCACTCTGATGGGAGGAGTGTGTACACATGGACGGTGTTAAGGCACACCACTTGGGAAAACATGAAGGGAAACATGTAATCTTGGTTGCTGATGTTGTTAATTTCTCCCTGATTTGAGATCATATTCCTGCTGGAACATGTCTGGTTGTGTTTAGAAGCTTTTATTGGTGATTTTTAACGGGAGAAAGTGCCGCTCTAGTCATCCCCCAGCTGAAAACACACTGCTACATATAGCAACATGCTAATGTCAAGGAAACATGTAATCTTGGTTGCTGGTATTATTTATTTTCCCTGATTTCAGATCATATTCCTGCTGGAACATGTCTGATTGTGTTTAGAAGCTTTTATTGGTGATTTTTCACGTGAGAAAGTGCTGCTATTCACAATCATTCCCTAGCTGCAAGTAGGCTACACTGCTACATGTAGCTACATGCTAAAGTCAGTGGAACATGTCATCATGGTTGCTGATGGTAATTTTTTTACTAATTTCATATTATAGTTCCGCTGGATGATGTCCGGTTGTGTTGGGAAGCTTTTATTGGTGATTTTTAGCTGGAGAAAGAGCCGCATTTCCCGGCTGCAAACACACTGCTACATGTAGCTCCATGCTAATGTCAGGGAAACATGTAATCTTGGTTGCAGATGTTGTAAAGTTCTCTCCGATTTCGGATCATATTCCTGCTGGAACATGTCCAGTTGTGTTTAGAGGCTTTTATTGGTGATTCTTGACAAGTTCTGAAAGTGCTGCTACAGTCATTCCCCAACTGCTGCACACACTGCTACATATAGCTACATGCTAACGTAAGGGAACCATGTAATCTTGATTGCTGATGTTGTTAATCTCTCCCCAGTTTTGGATCATATTCCTGCTGGAACATGTCAGGCTGTGTCTGTGTGTTATTGGTGATTTGTAAAGGGAGAAACAGCCGCTTAGCACAGTCATTCACCAGCTGCAAACACACTGCTACGTGTCGCTACCTGCTAATATGTAGGAACATGTAATCTTAGTTGCAGAAGTTGTCAATTTCTCCCTGATTTCGGATCATATTCTTGCTGGAACATGTCCCTATTCTCAGTCACATTTATACACAATGCAGAGATGCAGAGATATAGATGACCTTGAAGCACTGACCAATGAGAGAAAAACTGGCTTTTTCAGGAGGGGTGCTTATGGAGACAGGTGCATGGAGTCTTTCTGACAGAGGGGGAATATAGACCTGTGTTTTAGCACAGACAGTATGAGGAAAATGGTGTTTTTTGACCATTAAAGCATGTTAACATGTTTTAGTAGGAGCACAAAATGCAAGTATGAACCTGAAAATGAGCACAATGGTTCTCCTTTAACATTGTGTCGAATTTACAGGTACCGGCGACCATCTTCACAGGCAATTCTGAGTCTAATCGTTTGATTAATGGCTGATTAGCATCATCATGATGACTTGCCTCATTGCCAGCTCCCATTTGCCAATACAGCTCCCGCCGGACCAGTTCTCGCGAGCTGTAACCCGCCTTGATGGGAACTGAACTTGCAATTTCAAGCAGATCAATATAATCCGCGGTGCTTTATTACAGAGCACCTAAAATAGAAACAGGCATTGGATTTCTGCACTCACTGTCGACCATATGCAGTATAAAAGGGAAAATGCAATAAAGGGTACAATCTCAGTGTGTTCCATATTTCCTTTTTATGGCCTTAAACAGTATTCACACAGTCGGAGCTGGAGTCTCCTTCTTTTCTTGTCTCCCACAGGTCTGCAAACAGTAAAAGCTCCTCTGTCTGCCATCTGCTTTATTGAGTTACTCCCATATTCCCAGAATTCAATATCAGTGTGTGTGTGTGTGTGTGTGAGTGTAATGCCGGTGCGCACAATTCATCATTGTGTACTGTGAAAAGAAACACTGATACAACCTTGTAGAGATGACAGTACAGAGAAACTGATTAGTCAGTTTGTATTCACTTGCTGCTTGTTTAAGATCAGATAGCTTATTTTCTAAAGGTATATACTCTCATCAGCTGTGCTCATCATTAGGGCTGCAACCAACAGCTATTTCCATGGAAGCTGAACCATATTTTAGGCATTTTGATGTTGTAAAGTATTGATTTATCAACTGGCATAAGCACTATTTGTAATACTTGATTGCAACAGAGGAAAACAAGTTGTGCGTGGTTGTTGATCTCATTTTTCCTACATAAATATTGATGAGTGTGTGTGTGTGTGTGTGTGTGTGTGTGCGTCTGATGCAGAACACATGTACAGTAATCTGGAGAATGTATACGTGGCTGTTCAGCATTGATCGATCCCTTCTGGGCAACCAAACGAGCTGTGTAAGGTCTTTTAAAAAAATGATGCCGTTGATGCTCGGTGGAGTGACATGAATCTAAAACAGCAGCCTAGCTGTCAGTCATGTAAAGTGTGGGTGTTCTGTTTGCTGGTGGAAAATAATGTTAAATAAATTGAATTGAAATTGATTTAAAAGCGTTACAAAAACTAACTTTGCAAGTCTTTTTAAATCACCTTTTATCATGTGCCATCAAGGAACAAAAAAAAACAACAAATTACAACCCATATTTACATTTTTTGTTGGGCGGCAAACTATAGTTGCCATAGTGAACATTATGGGAGCAAAGGAGAAGGTCAGGCGACGTAGTATTGAGAGCAATAAGTGGGAGTGAGAGGAGGTAGATGGGTCAAACAAACACTGGACTTTCATCCAGGAGACTGGTATTCATGTCCTGTGTGAAACCAAAAGTCAATTCAGAAAACTTAGTTTGTCCACTTATGAGTGATGTCAATGTGAGTGATTACATGTGACATATGTCATGTAAAATATGGCAATACGTACGTTTATTAAGCTAAGCCATGATCTTTTTCTAAACCTAACCACGTAATTTTGATGCAATTGCCACCGTTTCATAACGTTACCCACGAGTTTGAAACTGCAACTATTAATGGTTATATTAGCTATTCTGTCATTCACCAGTAGGTTAGCTAGTCTAGGAAACACTCCTGTGGGTCGTATTCAGAGGTATGAACATATGACATATGTGTACATATGAGTTTGAGGACTTGTTGGAGCATTTAGCAGCTTAACAGACAGATGTTTCCCTCGAGAGCTGGTGGTGACCAAAACAGAGCTAAAAGGAGAGCAAATATTCACAACACCTCTCCAGATGAATTCAGATGTTACTTGTTCGGAGCTCGCTCAACAGATCAGCTTTACATGGTTTTCAACATTATGTTTGCAGCTTGCATCGCTGCCCCAAAGTGTCCAAAAAATCTATTTGTGTATGTTGAAAGAGCTAACACGTGTAGCGCTAAAACGATCTGTGTTTTTTTTTTCATTTGAAATTATTGGAAATGCAAAAAAAGTTTGGGTTTTGGACTGTTCCTCTGGAAAACAAGTAGTAACGGGCAGTCTGATTCTTTTCACAGTACCAGTTTCTTTGAGTTTAAATATGTAAATGTTTCGGACCTTTAAAGTTTGGATACTTTTTGCAAAATATGGTGTCAGTTTCTCCATAACTCTAGGTTATAGAACATGGACGTTTGACAGCTAGTGCTGCCCGCCCCACAAAACTTCTCTTGGGTTATCAAGTATACGTTTACATTTATAAAGTTAAAGTATCAATTTTTAAGCATTGTTTCAGCATCCCACTTGTATGTAGGTAGGTAAGCTCAATACGATGTTACAGAAATGTCACTGACCAATGATATGTCGTTCTTTGGGGGACAAGTAGCAGACGTCCCTTTTACCTTCACAGCCTTGTGCTGCATTCATGTGGTGTGGGAATAATCTGAAAAATGAGTTTACCATAGTATTTCATGGCTCACCTGATAAGTTTCCTTTGCTCTTTGTCATCAATGTATTGTTTAATCGCTCTGAATGATAGAGTACAACATATCTTCTTTGTAGCGCCCATGTTTTTGACAACCTAAAGCCCATGTACACAAGTCAACCCATCTGAGAAGCACTTGAATGCACCAATGGCCTTGGCTGGCAAAGGTCTGAACTTAAGTCTGATTTAATTGCCTCTTGTTTACTCACTGTAGCAGGGAGCATGAGCTGCGATAACAGCGAGTGGGAGAGTCAGAAAAGCCAGGATTCATGAGCAGTCGGACATACCATTGGCTGACCTGGTACATACCGGACACTAAAAGGAGCTGCTTAAAAAGATTTGTTTACTTTTTTAAAAACAAGCAATTTGAAGAACTCCCAATCTGTTTGGGAACTTGTCATTGGCGTAATTACCATTTTAATGAAATAACCATGAGATTAATTGATAATGAAAATAATCATCAGTTGCAGCTGTTAAAACGGGGGTAATGCAACACCACTATATTTTGGTGTGTAACTAGAACACAGAAAAACTCCCCCGCTCCACTGTAAAACTGTACCAATCGTGTGTGTCTCTGTGTTGTCGCAGGTCTCTGGACACACAAGCTGAATAAAACATGTTATTGACCCAACAGTCCAAGTCCAGTGATTGAGTACCAAATCACTCCCCCCCTCCCTCCATTATGTATCTCTATTTGGCCTGCCAGTTTCAGAGGGCGAGAAATTAATCAGCCAAGCTGGCGGACTCATTCAGCTCAAGCTAATTAGGGGAGGAGAGCTCCTGTAGACCCCGGAGTCACAGCCTCTAACTTAAGGCTTACGGTTTAGTGTAAATGCTTTGTAATGCCCGCCGGTGCCTACTCTTACCAGGAAGTGTTACCTTTGAACAAATGAGTGCCTGACTTATTCCCCCTCTGCCTTATTCTCATGCATATAGCTAAGCCAATGCAAACGATCCATGGATGGGATTGCTATTCTATCTTTCTTGCCCCAGCTGGCCTTGACTGAGTCTATTTCCATTATCTCACCCATTGATTCGCTCCAGCGCCTGTGCTGTTAATGTAATTGAATGGGGCATTTTTTCCCCCCTTTGTCCCCTTGGCATGACTACCCACACACATACACTCACACCCGCTCTCCATCCCTCTCTCTACCAGATGTTGCCAGGGCTATCGAGCTGCTGGAGAAGCTGCAGGAGTCGGGTGACGTGCCCGGTCACAAGCTCCAGTCTCTGAAGAAGGTCCTTCAGAGCGAGTTCTGCACAGCCATCAGAGAGGTGAGTCACAGCCAAGGAGGGAGCCGCTGGTCCGTGAACACCGACATGACTCATGACTTTTCGTACTTTTTCTTCTGTGAGACTTTTTATTTATTTTTATTTTCTACTTTTTTATGATGACCTTTCTGGTGCTAGAACTTGGTTGTTGCAGAGCTCCTCCAATCAATCATTGTGCTTGGTGCTGGGATGTTTTTCCCCTCGGAGTTGCTGCTGATGAAGCTGTTGTTTTTTCACCTGCTCGGTTGTGGTTGCTGTGTTGTCAGGACCTTAAAGGAATACTTCACCCACAGAATGTCTATTTGTGTATCAGTTAATCACCTAGTGTTACTTTGAATTTGTAATGAAGGCTTTGTTTTTCTTTCATGCCTCCACATTGAACAAAGAATCTAAAACCTAAGAAAATTCTTGATGAATTGAAGTCATTGGGGTCCATGTTCAACAACTATATCAAAGCATCTGTTTATAAATTCTCACACAACTCGTGCAGTATAATCCAAGTCCCATTTATCCAGTCGTATGCTCAGTGCTCCTCAAACACAAGCATTTTTACTAAAACCTTACTATTACAACACTTTTGCATATGTGTAATGAACATGGGTAACTGTATGCATTTGCGTGCCTGCACCTGGTGCACTGCTATTTACATGGTGGATTTGCAAATTGGATTAGGGGAGTAAGACATCAACTCTGCTCTGCTCTGATCTCTGCTATGTTCTGATTTTGCAAAATGTAATTCATATTTTCCTCAGTAATGATGTGTTATTTCACCTACCGACATCCCATCCATGCATCCCTGTGTATGTAACAAAAAGAGTGTGTGCATGTTGTAAGCCCACCTATGTAGGAGTGTATTATTATTTGAATAACGCACCCTTTAAATAGCAGGAAAATACTGTACCATTGAATTTATATCAGGTTTTTGTTGGTCAGTGTCACGTTCCACTGCCTCAAAATAGCCATGCGCCAACAATGCACTTGAACACACCTCATTTGAAGACCTGTACGCCCATAGGCGCACACATGGGTGCAAGTATATTTACAACTAATGCAAGATTTGTACTTCTGTGTTGAATCAACACTGTACCTACCGCGTAGGCTCTGTGTCGACGTAGAGCCTTCACAGTACCCTACCTTGTAGCCTGATGTGCACCTCCCCAGAAATGTAAATACACGTTGCGGCAACGCAGACATCCTGTCTGCTTTTGTAAGCTGAAACCATTTCCCTCAGTGGAAACAAAGCTTTTATTTACTTCAATTTCACAGATAAGAAACAATAAACTGTGAAGACGATAAAGCCTCCACAAAAATAACATTTTAAGTCTAGTGTGTGATTCATCCTGGCTTCATATGAGCAGAGGAAATCTCTGCTAGTCGCTAGGCTAAATATTACAATGACATGTAAAATGCCATAGGCTTGTGCTAATAACGTTAGCATGTTGTATTTGTTTGGGAAACATGTTCAGTATAAGACAGTTGTTTTGTCAGTGAACCTTGTGAGTTGTAATGGAGTCGAATTTTGTAACGTTACCTTTGATAAATGTTGCTGTTGTCCCTGGCTTCATATGAGCAGAGGAAAAGTCCACTAGCCGCAAGGCTAATTCCTACAATGTAAAAGGCCATAGGCTTCTGCTAAAAACATTAGCATGTAGTATTTGTGGGGAAAATGTGTCCAGATAAAGACAAGTGTTTGTCTGTGAATGGTGTTGTGCTAGTTACTGAAAAAAAAAACCTTGACTTAGGACTCTCGTCTTGGCTTGCCATCACGCCGTGACCGTGACGCACGTGCACTAGTGTCATCTATATTCTGAGTACATCCTGGCTCTAGATGACTGAGTGGGGATGCTAGAGGGTGCTAGGTGCTTTTCTTTTTTTGCAGTGTAGTTTTTCTAAGCCACAAAGAAGACAACGTTTATTGATGTTTTGGGAAACTCAGCCCTGCAGCCCAAGACATTTCCTAACTGTACTGGCTCAATAAAAATGAGCTAAAGAAAACATTTGAAGAGCTACATGATGATGTCGAGTCTGTCGCCCACTGCAGACATTGTCTGTCTACAGCAAAAGCTTCCTCGGGATAACAATGGATATCACATTACTGGATATAACGTTACTGGGACTAAAAATCTACAGAAGCGCTAACAATAAAAATAAAAATACAGCACTGTGGTGAGGCCAGCAGGTCGACAGTGACTTCAGAGATGGTGAGAGACGTGTTTCATTAAGATGCTCTGGTAAGAATTGTTCATATACCTCTATCTGACTTGACTATCTTTTATTGTTTAGGCCTAAAATGTTTTAGTGAAAGTGAACTTCAGTTTGTGAAGGAATACTGCATGCTGCGCGCCGTTTTAAAACCTGGCCAAAAATAACGGAGTAATGCACCGTTTGGTAACGGTAACTGAGTTACTGAATTTAAAAACTAACATGTTAGAGTATTAGTTACTGCCAAAACTAACAGCATTACTGTAACGCGTTACTAATAATGCGTTACTGCCCAACACTGCCTGTGAATGCTGCGAGTTATTGTGAAGCTGATTTGTGTACTTGTGTTTGAAATTGTCTCTATTAAGCCATGTTTAATGTGTGTTTAATGTGTGTTTTGAATCAACTAAACACTTCATAGAAACCCCGCTGACTGACTAGGGTTTTGAAGGTGTAACTGCAGAGTGACACAGACACACCACCACACAAGTATAAATGCTCATGATGGTGTAGGCCACATGCGTAGGCTACAGCGTAGGCTCTGCATAGAGCTGACACACAATTATAAATCTGGCTTTACACGACAACTGCATCAGCCTGAAAATAGCAATGCATCCTTTTATTTTTCTGTTAGATGTATTAAGTGCCTCCCTTATTACCAGAATAGCACCCAGGATGAAAACATCTCTCTCTATAATACTTTTGGTTGCGGCCAGTACAAGTTATATAATAAATAAAGTGGCAAATTTAGTGTTGCATTTAACATTAAATTTACACCTAAATTTGTGATCAGCTGGTGCACCTGACTGCTATAGCCATGCTTAAAGCTGTCAACAGAGCAGTTCCATGATTTGGCTCCACTGTAGGTAAAACATAGCACCTGATTATGTTGCAGTGTGGGCTCCCAGGCAAACACTGGTGCTTTGAAACTGAGCAGAACAATAAATTTAAAAGAATTATGACTCTACAACAAAAGAAGCTGAGAGTGTACCTTTAAATTAGTGTTGTGTTACATCAATCAAAAGTGACTGCAGCGTAATGAAAATGTCAGAGATTATTGCTCTGCCTTATTACTGCCGGAGCCAAGCAGCAACAGTGCATTTTTGACTGCATGAAAAATTCACACACATTTCAATAATCACAAGGCCAGAAAACATTATGAGCATTTCATTAACTTGAAGGGTTGATAAGCTCGTTACACTGTATTTTAATTAAGCAAATCCCTGTTAGAGATTGCTTTTAATCACATTTTACAGGGACGGAAGAAAGTGTGAATCATAAACAGAGAGTTTTTCTTCTCTCACTTTGAATGCTTTGATTCACACGCACGCTAACAGCCACCCACTGATCCATCATCTTAACACCATTCATCAGGAGGACGGGGTACAAAACAAACAAGAGCTTTCACTCTTACATGACACCACTACACAGGCTGATAACAGCAGATCTTGTATATTTAGTGTCCTGTCTGTTGTGATATACTGCAGCATCACCCAGGACATGTATTTGTTAAGCAAACAGGGCTTTGAAGAGCGAAGAGACAGATGACAGATGCAGCAATGGCATCCGTGTTGCAAGTTAATTGTAAACAAAGTCAACATGTAATTTGTCCTCGGATAACAGCAGACGTGATCAGACTGTCGTTATGTAGTGAATTAAAGGGACATTATTACGGTTTTACTGCTTCAGAGCACAAAATAACTATAATATATTTTGGAGTATTGATCTGTATCAATGACTCGGGGTTTTGTAGGCCAGCTGCTGAGATCTCTGGTTTATTCAACTCTTTACCTTCTGTTTGTCAGTTAGATATTTATAAGATGATAAACCAAACTAACACTTTTTATGTACTTCATCCCTGCGCTGCAAAGTAATGCACTTATATTTCAATTATATTAGAAAGCTTTATCAATTTCCACCTCGTATTTTCATGACTTTCGGTGATCCGAACACGTGTGTACGTCGTGCATCTCCAGCAGACCACTTCTGTTCAGATTTCATTTCTGCCCACTTATCTTACGCAAGAAGGTCAAAGGGCACGGCACACAGTTATTACGTCCACACTGGGGACCGCCCATTGTTCCGATGGCCCAAACTTTCGAAGCTCCACTGGTCCGAAAAATGTCCCACAGGACTGAAAGTATTAAATATAAAGAAAGGTCAGCACACTGTAGCTCCCTTAAGTCCAGTTTATTAGCACATCCACAAGTGACATTTCGAGCTAATGCTGTTGTTCAGACTGAGCTGTACAGTATGTCCTCCTGAGACCCTGTGTCCTAATATGAGGACATCACATTTTGGGTTTAATGGACCTTATGCTTCATTCTGATTAACCTAGACCTATTGTCCTCGTTTGTGGACACTTTATGTGCCATCTAGTGGTAGTAGGAGCATAATACTGGGATCTATACTTGTGCTTTAGCTCTATAGAGCCTATGCTGTAGCTTACGCTGTTGTGAGCATTCATACTTGTGCGGTAGTGTGTCTGTGTCACTCTGCAGCTACACCTTCAAAACAGTAGTCAGTCAGCATGATTTCTGTGAGGTGCTGTAAAGTTTAGTTGATTCAAGACACACCCAAAACACACATTAAACACACATTAAACATGGCTTAATAGAGACAATTTCAAACACAAGTACACAAATCAGCTTCACTATAACTCGCAGCATTCACAGACAAACACTTGTCTTTATCTGGATACATTTTCCCCACAAATACAACATGCTAATGTTATTAGCACAAGTTTATGGCATTTTACATTGTGTAAATTAGCCAAGCGGCTAGCAGACTATTCCTCTACT